CAAAGGGGGGCCCAGAAGAAAATCTTTGGGAACCACTGTGATATAGTAACATTTATTCTGGAACAAAATAGATAATAATGGTATGATAATACTGTTAGAGTATTACTGCACTTCTTGAAGGTTTTTTTTTCTATTCTCTCATGAACCAGCTTTTGTAACTTTTAAATGTTGAAGTATTTAATGCTAATGGTTGGTACAAATTTAAACCTTGAAGCTTTTAAGCATCGGTCATATTAAAGACAATTTTATTTGCAATAAAATACTGGCACGGGCTGCCATGTTTTTATAAACCCTTCTCCCTCTTTAAAACTATCAGGTTTTTAGCATGGTAACCAAGGTTTTCAGAGAACTGCATTTTATCTGACCATGAATTGCTACCATTTAAACTAAAGCAAAAACGTGTGAAAAGGGCAATATTATTGACAGCATTAAAACCTTTTTTTTTTCATAAAAAAAAAAAAAAATCCTGAGATAATAGGAGATCAGCTCCTATTCATGTATTTATTATTTCTGGCCTAACATTTATTCTTCACATTTATTTCATGATTGAAGTAAAAAAAAATAATAATAATTTCCAGTTATTTCATGCAGAGTGAAATACAATTAATTCTCTGTATTTTCAAATTTCCTGACAGAGGAGGTATCTCTCCAAACCTACTGTATTTTAGGTAGTAGCAGAAATGCACCAAATGAAATACTAGTTATATAATCCATCCACCTTTTTGATGGAAGCCGGTATAGCAGCTACATGTGTAGAGGGAACATGATGCCAAATGTTTCTGTCTGCAGTCATTTGAAAGGTAAAACACACATCTGTGATGGGATCTGCTGTTCCACCGAAGATGAAAATGTTGGTTTAAAAAAGAAAAAAAAAGTATAATCTGATTTGTTTCAAGTCTCAAACAATGTCCTCATCAGGATCCCGGTAGTCACATCCCGGCATGACTCATCATCAGCAATCTGTCAAGGAGAACAGTCACGCATCCCTAAGATGCTGCAGCGTTTGAGCTAAGCCTGACTTCAAAGTAAACAGCTTTTTATTTAAGAAGATGTTTCGCAGCTTTTCAAAGTTTTGAATAAAAAATCTTTTTGGCATGCACCCCAAAAGCTTGGATCTCTAAACTTCCCCTCTTCGGATATAATTCATGAAGGTATTTCTCACTCAGGCAAAGAGAAATAATAGAGCTAATGAAAAAAGGGTTATCTGATGTATTTGAATGAAAGGAGGACAAAGACAGAGCCCTTCTTAGCATAGGTTGTAAACCTTTATGTTAAAGTTTCAATCTTATTTCTCATTTACTAAGAGATTTTCTCTACAGATAAAATATGATTGTGAAAGTTCTTCACAAATTGCGACTTAGCCTTTTATGAAGGTTTCCATCCATCCATCCATCCATCCATCCATCCATCCATCCATCCATCCATCCATCCATCCATCCATGAATGTTTTATACAAACTTAATCATCATTTTG